GTAGAAGTTGCTATAAATAATTAAATTAGGATTGCGAATTTGAAATTTATAGTAAATGCGAAATTAATATAAAAGAATTTATGAAGGTATTAACTTCAATTGTAATATTAGGAATTTTGATAATTCTAAATTGTCATATCATTAAGTTTGAATGGCGTAACAAAATATTATCTAAATTATGTTTTATTCCAATCATACCAACGCTAAAGAAAACAAAGAAACTTCTCTCATTGTGAAAATTTTGCGTCTAAACTTAAATGCGTAATTAATCAATGCTTTAGTTTTAAAAGTTTAGTACAAGTGGACATTAGTGATCGATGTACAATCGGAACAAGAAGACAAAAAAATGACTTGAATCCCATACCGTTTCTGGAAAAATTAGTTTTGCATATGGTTTAACTTTATGATAGTCTTCCCACTATGTATGTATTAATTAGATATATATATTTGTTCTTTATCCAACTTGAATAGGACTTTGATGACTTTGCTACTAGTTCTACATACTGTTCCATCCTCTTGAGTCGTGCCAATATCACCACGTAACAATAAACTCTAGTCATTCGTTACAAATAAGTCAAAAATAACAACTACAACGTGAAACAAATAAACATCTATTCACGTTAGAACGGGCCGTATATGAACGGGCACACCGAATTAATACAAAAAATATTGCGCCGAAGCTTCGCGCACGGAAATAAACCTTTTACGCTTACTTATTCTGCGATGTTGACCCTGCATATTACAAGGCAAGCAAACTTAGCAAATAATTGATTTTTGCCTAATAGTGCAAATACAACCAGACCCGGGCAATACCAATTTTACACACCCAGCGGACTTCGCCGCAATTTATGCAGTGTTCGCATACCTCTTGTTTGTTACCAAATAAACGGTAGAGTTGTATCTGGGTGCACGGTGCCTGGTGTAATGTAAAACATCTACTATGTTACTAAATCTCTTTCGCTGTTACGCTTCAAATTCTATCAATATTCTATCTTGCATGTTTAAAGACGTTTCATGGCAAAAATTTTAAGTTAAAGCAATTTTTTGTCCAAAACTTTTATCGCTCCATTTGTGATCATTTTGTTGATTGAAAATCAATTTACAAGATAGATCCTAGTTTCGATATTCCTTAGAATTAATTTCAGAAAATTAGTGCTATGGATTTAGAATTATGATACTTCTATCTATCTATACTATCAATTTTATTGACGACGTGATACTTTGAACCATTAATTAAAGGAGACTCCGTAGAGGACTCCATAGAGTCATCGCAAAGTGTAGCAAGGAAAAACAAAAAAGCAGCACTACAATTTAAAAAATGCAATACTTTTCATCTTCGCCTATAAAAATAATCCAGTGCGTATCTTCCTCCATTTTAAACATTTTGAACTTAAACCTATGATGACAGCTAATAACGCTTTATATATTCCATAGTATTTTAATTTCATGCCAACCAACAGTAGGCAATGAAGTTTGTGTCACGCGTAATAAATCTTTAATAATATTGTAAGTACGTACAACTGATTTAGTTAGCCTTACTAATAGTACTTATAGAAGTTGTACACATTTCGGTTCATTTGTTTTAATTTTCATTAAAAATACTTACTTACGTCTTTTAGTAGAGCTCCTTATAAAAGCGTTTATCCAGGGAAGTACTCTGCCACCTCACCAATTTCTGCCGCCAAATAGTAATGTGAGCATTACTGCGTTTCGATTTTCAAGGATAAAGCTGCTGGTGAAATTACAGGCACATGGGACTTGTCAACTTATGTCTCAGTGTGAGGGGCGCAGTGGCAGTGCCCCTAAGATCTTTGCGATTTAAAGCTCTGAGTGGCACTGAAACTGTTATGGACAGACGTGTCGCTTACCACCAGGCCCGACGCTGGGTATCATAAAAAAGGACAGATTATATCCGAGCTGAGAAATCAAACAATCAAAGTAAGTGTAATATAAAAACTATTTTGTTTTATTTCTTTACTTTTTGAGTCTTTCGTTCTATTTGATTTGTTAATATTCCTTACCGAAACCAAGGCATTAAATGTATACTTACTATTTTTATAATAATACAATGGTACAGTGCATAAAAATAACCCTGTGAAATCTGATACTAGTCTACATAATATCAAATTTCACAAAGTTATTTAAAATACCCAAAACTCTTATCAGCTGTTTTTTAATTCATTTCTGTAGGAAAAGAAACATTATTTACGTATATTGCTAAGAAAACAGCTATTTGTTTTAATTATTTAAAATCCGACCCAGATATATTGAAAATACTCCTTCATCTACAAAGGGTATACATAACAAAACGCGAGAGTAGTGTGAGTAAACGATGGTATTGCACAAATTAATTCCGCCTCTACCTTTCCATCATCGAGGGACTAGACGTAGGCTGGGATACCACCCCTATGTTGTAGATATCATAAAGATTTGCACAAAGCGTTACACTTCCACATTCACATGGCAAACGGCTATAGAGTGAAATTCCTTGCCTGCAGATATTCTATTCCCTAAACGCTATACTTAAGCCTTTTCAATACGAGAGTGAGTAGGCATTATTTAGGCGTGCGTGTATCGTCAACCGCATTGTCACTTTCCAGCAGGTGAGATGGGGGCCAAATGCGCACTTATTATACCATAAAAAAAGTGTACGGTCCTGGAAACGGAGTGGGTAAATGTGTGATCTATATAGATGATCGAGCATAAATATCTTTATTACCAACCACGGACAAACATGATTAACGATAACATTTATTAGCCATGACCCAATAACAAAGGCGCCCATTAGTGGTTAATAAAAAGTCGTACAATTTATAAAACATGAACTTTATTTTTATAGTTGCTTGGAAGTTGTGCGTTTTGCACCAGCTGTTGGTAAAATGATTTTTTTTTCTACAAGCTCAATTAAAATATTTTCATTTTGTTTCTGTATTTGGATTGCAAAGACAAAAAAGATAATTTATATCAATTACAGAATTTTAGTAATGGTTTTGCTCAATTGATATAAATTGTAATAATTATATAACATCGGTGTTTTGTAGTACGGCGAAAGCGTCATTTCGAAAAATTTTTCAGGGGAGCTTGTTTTAAAATTTAATTTTAGTTTTCATCGAGTTTTAAGATTTAAAACAGAACATAAATATTTCAAAAGAGTCGTGAAAAACTGGAACATGCTCCCTTGAAAAACTTTTCGAAATGGCACTTTCGCCCTTTCTACAAAACACTGACGATATTTTTTATTTATTTGCAACGGGTTTTAAGTCTTTTAAAAATAAAAGTGTACACAGAATCAAATCACTCCGCGCAGCAGCGCGGCTTAATGCGTGCGCGCTCGTCACACGCCGTGTACTGAAGTACTGATGCACACATTCTCATAATAATGAAAGAAGCGTGTGACGACCAGCTGCAACAACAGTGCATAGCAAAATTATGCGAAAGTGTGCGTCCGTACACGGCGCAATGCGTGCACGCACACATACAAACCGCGCTGCTACTTTTGCATGGAGTTACCTTACTTGTCCTAACTATGGTAATAATCTGTTTGAATATGACATTTATCTTTTTTTATTTACATACTCTGCAGTATGTATTTAAAAAAAGACATACTGTACCTTAGAAATCAATGAAATTTTATCACGTCATCAGTCTTAGTCATAAAAAGCACTGCAAAAATAACGGTGTGGCAAGTCTGTTATGAGTAGATATCAGATTTTATGTTTAATAATAATGTTAGTCTGTCAGTGACTGTCACTTGTTTTTACATTGTGGCGTTATTTTAGAAATTGGTTGTCTACATCATCATGAATTTAAGTCGTGAAAATTTTCGTAGTATGATTTTCTACGACTTTAAGTGTAATTTAACAGCTCAGCGGAGCTTTGCTTGGCTCCAAGCTGCTTTGGGCGATGAAGCACCATATAAGACAGAGAGACAAGAGAGATATTTATAGCTGATTTGCAGAAGTCATACGTGGTCGTGTGAATCTCAGCGACGAATTTCGTGATGGTCGCCCGTCCACTGCTGTGAACAACTAAAACATCGATGCTGTGCGCCGTATAATCAAAACAGACAGGCATGTGACATACCATGAGATTCTTTGGGCATAGGCATGAGTCAAATATAATCAATACTACACAAACATTTGGGCACGAAAGAGCTGTGCTGTTGGTGGATCCCACGCAATTTGACGGAGGCTCAAAAAACGTTACTTGGTGCAATGCCATGCTTACCAGATTCAACGAAGGGGCGTCAAATTTGGTGTGGGACATAGTAATAGGTGACGAAACATGGATTTATAGTTACGATCCCAAAACAAAGCAGCAATCGAGCGTATGGGTCTTTCGAGATGAGCCGAAACCAACCAAAGTGGCGCGCGTGCAAAGTGCCTCTAAGCGGATGATTGCTTCTTTTTTGATAAAACTGGACACATTGCTTGCTTTGGAGAATCGTTGTACCGTGAATAATGACTGGTACACGACCATTTGTTTGCTGGAAGTTATTGACAAACTCTGTAAAAATAACCGTAAACGCCATATCACCACGATAATGCCAGTTCTCACACGGCCAGGCAGACAAATGAATTTTGAAGGTCAACAACGTTGACCTTATGAGCCACCCTGCGTACAGTCACGACCTAGCACCTTACGACTTTTATTTATATCGCAATATTAAGAACCAGCGGTCAACGATTTTCATCATCTGAAGAGGCTGTCGAAGAGTATGAAAAATATGTTTCAGAGATTGTCTCGCACTCTCTTTCACATATCTTTGTTACTTAAGTGCGCCGAAACGGTAGCATAGGTTTAAATGCAATTTGGTGTATAAATATTTTATTTTTCTTTATTCTGCACATATATAATATATGCAAATACAAAGAATCTCATGGGTTTTATCTTGTTTAATTTGTATATTGTTTTGCTTTAAATTGCTGGTCGACTACTAATGATTTTTATTCTATAACAACAAATGAGGTGAGAGAAAAATAAAAGACAAACATTTCTAATGTATTTATATATTTATTATTTATGCAGTGTGAAATACGATACGGTAACTTATCCTGTGGCCCCAGAAATCTTGCATTACAACAATAATTGTGATCGTATTTATTAGGGCAGAAAATATAGAAGAACTTTATTAAGTCACATTTGAATTAGAAGCTGGGTCGACTGGCTACCACGTGAGTCACCCAAGGTATGCTGCAGGTATTTTTTAATAGCCAGATAAGCTTTCATGAAATTGTGGCTCATCATCGATCATCGGCATCGATTTGTGGCTCAGTGGGCGTGTCCTCTTTTTCGTTTTCTTGTTCTGTACTTCCTTTTCTTGTGCCGATGGTGGTGGTGTCTGCGCGTGTTAGGCTCTTTAAAAGCAGTCTCATTTACGAGGTATAGTGCGATAGTGGTAAATGCGCTCGTATTATCATTTCTTAATACGTGAACCCATTCGAATGTATCGTTGGCATGCTCAGTATCGTATTTTAATTTCGCTCTACAAAATTCTATGCGGATTGGTGTAAAGACTGTGAACAATTTTAATACACTGTTTTTTGTTTTGATTAAATTATAAAATGTCCACTTCCTTCAAAAAATAGTTTATAATAATAATAGTTAGTCAACATTTATTCCCATTACTGAGCACAGGCTTTCTCTCACATTGAGAGGGTTTGAGCTACATTTCTTATGCCTAATGCAGATTGGGAACTTCAAACACGTCATTAAATTTATTTTTCAGATGTGTGCAGGTTTCCTTACGATATTTTCCTACACAGAAAATCTCATGGTATATATGTGGAAAGTAAATGCGTAACATACACACAAAAAAGTACTAGATTTCCCCTTGTGCAACTCAAAACTATCGAATTCCAAGATTAAGAGCTTCGTATTGTTCGACAACAACACCGCACTGATCCGTGGTCCATTGGCCACACATGGAAATATGACCCTTATTAGATTACCCATGAGTTCCTAAATTCGATTTTCAGTTCCTAGGTTCTTAAAAACCGTGATTTGACTTATCGCCTCTCAAGCAGAGGAGAGGAGAAATTTAATTTAAAATTTAATTAGCTTTTTTGTGAAGGAACGTCGACAAAGGCTGACAACTCTCAAAAAACGTGTGAAGTCCCCTGCCCGCCTTGGGTCAGGTGCTGGACTATGGCGTAACCATCGCCCGAGAGGAGACCATAAATGGGTTGGTGATGAAAGCTTTGCTTTACTTACAGCCATGACCTTTGCAATTCATCCGGTACAGAGCGCAATAGTTCTCAAAAACAGCCATATAAGTATCGTCTTCGTTATAACCACAGACTTTTTCATCGTTAGCTACGCAGTGCTGGTACTTAGAACAGTGTAATTTCATTAGCCTGCCCCGGCTCGTTACATTTTGCTGCGACAATGAAAATGGGAATTTCGGTGATAGAATAGAATCATTTATTTCATATTATCAATGTCACAATATTGCAATAAAAAATGTAATGTCAAGGGATAATATGATCGTCACTGACGCAAACAATAATAATGAATATAGAATAAAGTAACATAGCTACTGCTTGTCTAAATACAATGAATTCCAGTAAAAAAATTACAATTGTTTCAAAAGAAACTCATCGACTCTGTAGAATTCATTATCCAATAAAAGGAGTTTTAGTCGAGTATTAAACGGTTCGTCGTTTGTAACACTTTTCAGGTTTGTGGGTAGATGTACGTAGAATCGGGGACCTATTACGCGCGGATTTCTCATTGGGAGTTCGGTACGGTGGGCAACGGATTTTAAAATTTTGACGCGCATAAACTATTATATCATAGATGTATTTTGGGTACGTCGTCATTATATGGTATTTTTTAAAAAGGTTTCTGCAGGATTGGCCATTTTTTATACCTACTACAGTTTTTAATGTGCGTTTTTGAAGCATAAAAACCCTATTCGACTCAGTTGAGTTACCCCACAGTGCGATGCCGTATGACATCAATGAATGGAAATTGCAAAGTACGTCTGCCTTAATACCACATTGGACACAAGAGGTCGCAGTTTCCTTAGATACATGTTTTTTAGAATAACATAATATTCAAGTTTTAGAAATGATTTGCAATACGTATTAGTTGTGGAATATCGTATTTTATATTTATTGATAATAATACTGTAATATAATTAAAATTCAACAAGATTTTATTTATTACTTGCTATCTTTTTGTCTAACAATAAACACAATATCTAACAGAATATTTTTCATTTATTTTTCTATTTTTAGGAAATGTGAGTATGAACATTCATTTTGGTTTTTTACTATAACATGCCGCGCCTCAAGCCTCTATTGTCATAAAAATTAACGATAACGATTCTTTTTAATTTTTGTTATTGACACCTTAAGTTTCAAAATTGATGTTTTAATAACTTTTTACATAAAAAAGACCTCAAACATTCGTGGAATTACATCTATTTGCCAAATTTCATTCGGATCGGTTACAGGAAAGTGCGCGAAACCGGATTCCTCCCCAACTTTGCACTCTTAGAGGTAGAATACTTCCTTAAAATATGGAATCTATGCTGAGGTACCTACTTTCCAACAATAAAAAAAAGAATCAATAAAAATAAAAAACAGTTGAATTGAGAACCTCCTTCTTTTTTGAAGTCGTTTAAAAATCCTGAGTATTTATTACACGTAGACATTTTAAAAATAATATAAAGGATGGTAATTTACAATACAAAAAAATACAAAAGCATTTACTATTATTATGAATTACTTACTCTTTTGCTACCAAAAGTATTAACAAGTCGTATAATCGGAAATATAGCTGAAAACAAAACAAATTAACCAGTGGTTGAAAGAATATTCTAGGAAACGTTCTTTGTAATTTTTACACTTAATTATAATAATAAAAAAGACATACTCAACAAATTCAGAAGATAAACGAGTTTCATTGTCAGAATGATTAAACACAATGCTTTATACTGATTACATGATTTCACGGAATAGACTGTAGTGGTGGTTGTTAATTAATTTTTAACTAACCATGCGGTACCTAAGGCATTTTCATAGTTGTGAATGGCAGCGCATCAAATTACCTCCTTCGAGTATCTTTTTCTTCGTCTCAAAAACCTTGGTATGCATTCAACACTGGCGTTGAATAAATTTGCCTATGATGAACCTTTGCAGACAACGGCACCAACCGATACTCGCTATTAATGAGGATTGCCTTGAATACCTCTGACCAACCTGGAGATAACTGTAGCCATTTGCTCTCTACCCGATCAGGACTTGAGTAATAAAAGACGAAAAGTATGATAAGAAATGGACGGTAGAGCGTTGTACTCGGGTTTAGATTTTTTTGTACCATGTGCTGAAGTTCCTAATGGCAATGTAGATCTCTGTTTAATTCCGATTACGTTGTTGTAAAATTGGTCGGTGTAGCTTTCTTAGGATGATACTCGAACGCATAATAATGTTCCGATCACTCGGCAAAAGTTTAATCACACATTAGACGGCTTGGATCCCAACATACCTTTGAGTGCGGGAGTTAACTTTCGTTCGTTCTGTTACCATGCGAAAGCACTCGAATGATATTTCTGCCGCCCTTGTTTACCATCTTTGGATCGTATCCTGACTGGCTACCTAATATGGGATCATTACATTACCGCAAGTGTTTTGGAATATTTGTTTAGTTCATTGCTTACAAAACATGTTACACAGACTATAATCAGGGACTAGTCCGCAATTGCTGTGTGTAAGTTTTATAGCACTGACTGTAGGTACATTAAACCGGCTTCTTAAGTTTGTGCGATTCCCTCATAAATGTTAAAAATAATCTCCGTACAGAGTACTAAAAAACCGACCTCAAAAGTACGTGGAATTACATCTATTTGCTAAGTTTTATTGAAATGTCCCCTAGTTCGCCACTATACAGGACTTGACACAGAAGATAATAATAATCGGTTCTCACTACTCAAAGTATATTGAGAGAAAAACGCCTTGAATTGGAGAAATAGCAAAATCAACCATTAAAATAATTACTCCTAAATTAAAGTTAGGCGATATTTACAAAAATAATAATAATAATAATAACGCACACACTCGACATAGCCCCGCATAGGGAAACCCTGTGTCGCGGGTGCCATGGACACACAAATAGACAATGACAAATTACACCCAAACTCACGAGACTAATAAATGTAGGCCATACAAATATTTCTCCCGGCCCGGGAATCGAACCTGGGACCTGGGACGGTGAAAAATGAATCTTCATGCGTGAACAGCCACCCTTAAAAGTGGATGATTTTCTTGAAAATGAAATGGTACCATGGAAGTAACCCCATTCCAACAAAAAAAGAATCATGAAAATCGGTTCACAAATACCGGAGTTATCGCGTAACATACATACAAAAAAAAAAGAATATACAGTCGAATTGAGAACCTCCTCCTTTTTTGAAGTCGGTTAAAAATAAAAAACAAACATGATTCCAGAATATAGAATATTATTTTATAAGATCTTTTATGATTTTTCAAGGTGATGCCATGAGCTAGAGTTTATAATTTTTGAACCTGCCACTTCGGAGTTTGGTTCCTTTCTTATGGTCGGCCACACTGCCCTCAATTGACGGCAATTGACTACATCTGTTTATGTCCGTTTTTGCAAAGTCTGTGAGAAAATATATACAAATTGCAATGTTACAGAAAATATGTTCAAAACTGCGATCAAAATAAGGAAATACAAAAACTTAAATGTAGATGTAATTTAGATTCGTGAAAATATGAATCACATCGATACATCGGGGAAAATGTCGAATTTTAAATTTTACAAAACGTGTGAAAAACAAAAAGGAATGTTTATTACGTAAAAAACCGTAAAAAAAAAAGGTTTGGTAATTAACAAAATTTTGAGTAGACGAATCGAAAGGACAAAAAAATTTACCGAACTCCGAAACACATAATTTTTTGCTAAAATTGGCTTTTACGCCCTTACTTCTCCAAAGTATCTGTACTTATAAAATAGCAAAGTATAAATAAATTTCCCAACTGCCAATTTCTGTATGTTAATGCTGCAGGTAGTTTTACAAAACACACTTTGTCTGCTTGTAACTATAATTTTTTTATCTGAAAACCTTTAGGTCGTTGAACTGACTTGACAACCTCAATTGCCCAACGGTTTGCACTGTGATTGTTGTAATGGAGCGATCCCGGATTCGATATAGTCAATTCAGAAAATGAACTTTTCTAAACTTTCCCGGTCTAAGTATACTCTGATACTATGATACAGGGAATTCACTAGTTTGCAACCAGGTAATCCATGTGGTTGTATTTATATTATTATTTTACCTGAATCCAAAATTAATTCGAGATTATGACATTGTAATGGAACATCAAATAACACTTTATAAGTATCGACACGCTAAGAAGTATCTAAAAAGGGATGGATCCGAATCATGTTTACCTAAGTTACTAAATATTATTGAAGAACCTTTTAACCCATTTTTACATGATAAATAGTAAATAAATAAATAAATAAATAAAAAGCAATAATAAATAAATCGTTAAAACATTCTTACCGGCGTCATTAAGGCAATTGTATTCTTTGATGTCACATGAGTCGAAAAACCTGCGTGCGGTTCCATCTTTACTAACACCACATTTTTCTTTTCCATTATGTATACAGATTTTCGCCTGGTAGCATATCTAAAAAACAAGTACCAAGACATAAAAGTATTTTATATTATAAAAAGGCTGAAAAGTAGTTAAGACAATTTATTTGAGCTAGAGGTGAAGTGTGGGAGGCCGCCCACGAGCAGAAAATTAATATGATTAAATAAGAACAGGTGGAAAAAATTTGCCAAAAGATCCGACATTGACAAGCGCCCGACTGTTAGGGGCAATGGTCGGCGCGGCGTGTTGTTAAACCGCTGGGCAATTTTCAAGTTTTAGAATAAATGTAAATTTAATAACCACAGGGCTTCAATTGAAAACCAAACTTTAGCAGGTTCTCTGTAGTACTTAAAGAGAAATATTTCCATTAAAAAATTATGTGCAAGTAACTTGCACATAATTTTTTCTTAAATAATTTGTTTTAGAATTTTACTTTAGCCTGTTTTCGGGATTTTATATTATTGGGTAAAGTCCAATCATCCAAAGGACAACCATTATTGTCGTAATAGGATAGGATGTACACAGGGATGGGCAGTATTTATAATTTTTTTTTTCAATGTACAGCCTATTATGTGACGTGCATAGATTTATATGATATTGAACTCAATAGTGACGTGTGTGTGTGTATGTGTGTGCGTGTAGGCCTTAGAGGATGGAAAATATAGGCAGCACTACATGGTAATGTCAAAGACGTCAAAGTCATCTTTTCGCGGTTATAACGTGACTGTGGAAACTAAAGGACGTGTTATATTGACATATCTATATCGACGTTATGTGTATATGATGCATTTAGACATTTGAAAACATAAACATTTTATTGACTTTATTTAACTACTGCGTGCCGTCGTAAGCCAAAAGAGCTAGCACTACATTGATTTATGTCAAACACGGGAATCGAAGTACGTAACGTCATCTTAAATGCCAACTGTCCTCATTTTACCATTTTTGTAGTACCCTTTGACAACCGTTTCCGGTTATCAAAGGGAAGTACATCAATTATTCGCAAGAATTGTAACGAAATGGACAAAAATATTGACAGTGAGAACAATTAAGTATTGATAAAAATGCGTCGCTGCAGCATTAAGGGATGCGGCAGTAGAAAAAGCGGAAATCAACCGAATCATACAATAACCCAAATATCTCCATGTAATTAGACTCATTTAAGTTATTCATATCATTTAAGTTATTCGGCAAGATTTATGAATAAACAAGTAGTTTATTCATAAATCTTGCCGAATTTGGCTTTGGTTACTACAGATTGCCTGTTTGTTAATATTTTGATGATTGTTGATAACGATTATTTTGAGATAGTGTTGTTCTTGTAAGTATACATATTATCGATATTCTGTTATTAAAACAATTGACTACGAGGTTTTTGTTGTTTCATTATTGTTATTATTTTTGAAGGTCACCTACAAGACAAAAAGAAAGTAAGAATGGTTGGAAATTATAGGACTGCCGAATATAAGCATAGGATCAAATACCATATTCGTTTGTTCGCCTCATTTTGAAGAGGCAAATTTCAATAGAACTTTGAATGTAACTATAGTTAAATGCATGTGATATATTACATGATAATGCAATTCCATCGTTACATTTATAGGTAAACAACTTTATATTTACTTTTAATTAAAAAGACTCATTACTAGGCACTCTCAGTTCCTTAAAACAAAATTGACAGCGGCCAACATGTGAAAAACTCGATTAAATTATTAGACTTATGTTTGTTTAAAACGAAGTTAAATACGTGCTTAAATAAAAATATTTTTATGATATAGGTAAATAAATTATTTGACAGGAAATAAGTTGTAAAATTTCATCTTGATTTTAATCATTCTTGGCAAATTTAATTCCTAACATTGTGACATGACATGAGTGACATTTCTTGTGACATTTTTGTTGTCGTCGTTGTTTAATATATGGTTGTTTAATATGCGAAACATGTTAGTACTGGCACTGTCTCTTGTTACATCTCCTGTTATACCATGTTTTAAGCAAATAATGTATTATTAATATTATGTGTGATTTTATGATTATCGATAATATTACTTTACTACTATTATATAAGTAAATTCACATAAATCAAAATCACTGATATTAATTCTATACCAATGCATAAATACAAAACAGCTTACATTATTTGGAAATCTTTTAAAAATTTCTTTCTAATCATCATATTGCGTAGGGATCTCCAGATTTAGATTACATTTTTTTCTTTTTTTAATATACTCTCAAATTACATTTTATTATTTATTACAAAGTATTCGTCTTGTATGGGAATATTAACAATAATTGTACGTACTACGTGCTCTGTAGTATAGTTGTATTGATAGGTTTAACAGTTTTTTTCTAATAAACAAAATCTTTTTAAAAATATATATTGTGGGAGGAAAAAATTTTGAAGGAAATTAGTGATTTCCACATGTCGCGACGGGTATATTAATAAAGTATTTTGTAATTTGTATTTCGTAATTTAAACACACCCGATGAAAGTATTTTGTATTTCAAATACACCTCAAGAAAGTATTTGGTATTTCGTATTTTAAATACATATATGGTAGTATTTCAATTAAGATGTAGCGTGTATTTTGCCCAGCCCTGGATGTACATCCTATCGTGTAACTAATTAGGACAATCTTTAGGTATGTCGCGTAGTTTTTCTGAGACCGTCACTTAATAACAAATACCTAAAACATTTGATCTAGCAAAACAGTTTTTCTCCGCTCCGTCTTCGGTGACTCGTCTATATGCTGATTCTTTTTTTTATTGAAACATATTTAAAATATGTTGGTATAGCTAGTAATCTTCGCATATGTGCATAAATGATGCTAGAGTTGAATTCAGATGCAACTAAATTAACATACTTACAGTATTTTCTTGCTCTGTTTGTTTGGTAATACATAATGTGCACTGAAGCAGAATTAATCCTGGAATATACACTGCGTTAATTAGATAACATTACACTAATGTACAACTTTACACCTACCCTCTCAGACGTGCCGCACAATATAACCTTTAAGCAGGGTACGGAACATCAAAATAAAGCAATTTGGGAAATTCATTATCTTAAAACATTTGTTTTATTTTTTCTTACCAAAACCGGCGACAAGAAACCGCATATTGTATTTCTAAAATAACTTTTTGTTTTCAATTTACAGCAATGGTTTGGTTAACAAAGCTCTTTACATACTGTAGTAGTCTTAAACGAAGTGTTACCAAATTTTTTGTTCAATATTTTTTACATTACATCTGAAAAGAGGGTTAGCGTAATAAATTACATTTTTTGTACTCTCTATACGTACATACTACTCTTTTGTAACGTAGTAACAAAAATAAACAAATAATTAAAAATATATTAAATAAACAAATTTATATTAAATAAACAAATAATTAAAATAATTAAAAAAAAAGAACAAATAATTACTCAATACGCAGTAATATATTCGTAACACGTAATAGTAGAGCAACGACAGCAAGTTAAAAACAACCCACTGCTTTATTAGGTCGAGGTGGACTTATCTATTAACATTAATAACTATAATCAACGTGTACTCATTTCAACACAATTCAAATATTATAACTTAACGTTTTTTCACGAAGTTGTATTTGTATTATATTTGAATTCATGCGTGATCCATTTTCCTGGAATCGGTTGTCATTTGTTGGTTTCGCGATAGTCAAAGCGCACGTTATTTATTGAGTGATAATTCCTGAAAAGCTGATGCGAAAAAAAGGATTATTATCATTGACTTACAAATAAATGGACGACGGGTCTAATACAAAAACCACGAAAAAAATGTCCCAAGTCAACCTATTCCAAATTTAAATTGTAATGTCATCGCAGTAGGTATCACGCTGTCGGTAGAACAAATGAAGACTAAAGCGGAGTGTCGCGCTCTGTATACGATTTTAGCGCCTTACAAGTGCGGACACTTTTTAGCGCGGACCCGACGTCCATATAATTGTAAGTCAATGATTATTATTGTTATTTATTTATCGCTCATGGGCTTGGTTATTATAATAACAAGAATTAATTTCTTAAATATAATGCACGCACATAACCCCGCACTAGGGACACCCAGCATCGCGGGTGCCATGGACCCACACTTAGACAACCACAAATCACACCCAAACTCACGAGAGAAATAAATGTAGGCCATACAACTACATCTCTCGAACCAATATTGAACCCGGAATCTTTGCATAGCAGAGCAGTATGGTGACTATTTGGCCATATAATAATATAATAAGTGACACTCGAATAACAGATATTTATGATTGAACTACCTGTTCAATTATAAAATTATATAATTCGAGCTTCACTTAAACATATATGCAGAACAGTATATCTTTGCTTTATACAGTCATAACCATGCACCAATACGGCAACAAATCAAATATATTGGAAACTATACCCAATTTATTATTTTCACAATAAACTTGAGCACGTGGTTCCGCGTAACGCTTTCGTGAATGTTGTACGGATATCTATTTTAAATATACTCATGACCACGTTTTGTCTTTTAACAATCGTTGCATTTTCACATTTTGTTTTATACACTAGTAGCTTCCAAAAAAAGTTAACAGCGCATGAGAACAATTTAAAAGTACGTACATACATGTAAGAATAATCTATAAGACTGAAATGGGTAAACAATGGTCCATTAAACTGAAGCTATAAAACAGATGATAAAATGCGATAATTAATAACTTCAGTATTTATTGTAATGTATTTACGTCAGATCTATACCTACTACTGTTGGCTGCAGAGGTTACAAACTTGTTGAACTTACATATTTTAAATTTATTATGGTTAAAACTAATTTTATTCAGCTTACTTATTTTATAAAAGTTACGATCTCATACAAGTTACATTTTACTAAGTGTACTTTTCAAGTACATCCGCCTTTTAACTTACTTCCAGCTATCATGCTATCAAGCATTCCATTGTGTTCACGACAAACTACGCCGGTGCGGTTATAACTCATATACTCTTGAAGTGAGATGGTTCCTGGACAGATGCGATATATCAGAATTCAACTGCGAGTACAAAACTGGTAACGACAATAAGGTTAAACATAGCATCTCAATGTCACAGTATAATAAAAACAAGTATGGTAACTCCAAACAAATGTAGCAGCGTGGTTTGTATGTGTGCACGTCCTCCGCATGCCGTGTACGGACGTACACATTCACATAATGTCGCGATACATTCTCGTTGCATAGCGCTGGTCGTCTCTAGAGGTGGGCGTTTAAACGAAATCGCTTAAACAATTTGCTTTTTAATACAAGCACATAAGCACGCTTATCAGCTCAGTTTAATACTCAACCATGTATTTTTTTTACAAAACGTGCTTAAATTTCAAGTCCCGCCGTTTCCTAAACAAATAAATTCGTCAATTAGAATAATACTGTTATAAAAATAAAACTCAGGTTTTAATAATAAACTTACTTATCCTATAACATTTAATGCGCTACTCTTGCTTTTCGCTGTCACACAATGTTGCAATCTTTTTTGACATAATGTCTTAGACGCTTAAAAGGTTTTCTAAACGATTTTGTAAGCTTTAAACTAAAAAACATTTAAGTGAAAAGCGCCATTTTAAGAACGCTTATATAAAACAGTTCAGCAATTAAACGTTTAAAATTACTAAGCAGTTTCTTCCATCTCTAGTCGTCCCACGCGCCTTTCATTATTGTATGAGAATGTATGCGTCCATACACGGCGCGCGGCGGGCGTGCATACAAACAAGTCACGCTGCTACGTTTGTATGGAATTACCAACTTGTCTTATTATACTCTGTCAATACTGAATAATTTATAGACGGTTTTTATAATAGGGGTTAAAGTATGAAATTGCCGATTTGTACTGAAAATCTAA